GAAAAAGTGATGTCAGAGGAGGTACTAAAGGAGCAAACTGGACATCAGGGTGCATGTGAGACAAAATATACAGGATTTTTAAACAGGTTTTTTCCCCATCTGACGACAAATGGTAAGTTGGGACATTTCTTTTGCCATTGAAAATTGTTGAAGGTATACTGGATGGTACTTGAATACCTAAGGAGAAATTGTAACAAACTTCATGTTATTATGGAAAAGATGCCCATCTTCTAATGAATGCCTCTCTCCAATTATTGCCACTCTGTAATTAACCCGCCTTTTGCTCTTTAGTTTTTTAAAAAAAATGGCCAAAGTATCTGTTAGAACAACTTTGTGAATATTTCAAAATATACTTTTTCCTTATAGGCAAACTTGTTTGGCTTGATTACAGCTCAGTCAATTCCAAAATAATTGTCCATTCCCTTAGACATTTGCTAAGTTGAGATTTCTTATGGTGAAAAATGGTTTTTATTTTAAAGTTCATAGTATGGTCTCTGGTGGCATAATTGCACATATTTCATCACTGACGAAAAAAACAACAGAACAGCTGTTGATGATCTGTAATTCAAGTAAGACTACTTATAATGTCCTGAGCCATACCCACTTGGTTGATATTTGTGTGTGTGGAATGGGGTGGTTTAATATTGGCAGGGGGGTACTATGGCAAAAGAAACAAACTTCAGATTTAGATTTCCCAAGGTTGGCATCAGAAAACATAATATTATCAAATCGACAAAAATTTTCCATTGCATGGTCCATCATCTTATCAGTCATAGAAATGACCTCAAAATGTTCAAAATGCAAGTGGAACTAGGAACCACAGGTGAGTGATTTTACTGCAGAGTTTTGAACATTTTGATGCAGATGGCGATAATATGGCTTGGATAGTAGCTTCACCATGCACAAGAAGAAGATTTAAGAAGGCTAACATACACCCAGGATGGGTTATTTACAGAAATAATGTCAATCTTACCCATATCATCAATCATTTCTTCATAATAGTGAGGAGAGTTTAGAATTATATCTGCTCCGCCACTTGCATCTTTCCAAAGTTGAGACCTAAGTTGCAGTAGAACACCTTGTCTTATTAGCTTCTTCAATTTGTCAGTCTCATCATGCTCTGGATATTCTAGCCATTTCTGCAGGGTTTCCTTAAACTGATCTTCTGAATATTTGCCCTTATTATAGTATGGACCAATAGAAGAAGTGGAAGATCGAGAAGTCCTTGAGGCCTTTCTTGATGTTTTTGACGTTCTAGAGTCCTCTCTGTATAATTTTCTGCTCTCTAGTGAACTTTGAACCCACTGAGAGAAGTAAGGAGCACTAACCTCACATAATTCCATAGCGATGAATTTAAAATTAAAACGGTAACAGACGTCGATGGTATATAAAACCGGTAAAAACAATAAATATTAGGTTTATACAACACTTGTCGACTATTAATATTTTGGCAGCAATTTCATCTTCTCGCGTTAGCTTGCGTGACAACACCGAATTTTGTGAAAACAACGTTCCTCATTCCGTGCTGTTAGAGAGATGCTGTTGGTCTAGTTTACTCACGTGAATCCGCACATACAGACCGCTTATGCTGCATCATGAACCAACCACCTTTTTAACCCAACAAAGACGTTTGTATCGTCCATGTTGACAAGTTCAGTCCCCCGTTGGCCAAGAGCCTGGGTTCCACAAGAAGGTTTCAGGAACAAATCACGAGCATCAATCACGAGAGATCACGAGCAAATCACGAGCACGAGTTAATGTCCCTGTTGACCTGAGCATCTACCTTCGCCCCAGGCCCCTAGGCCTTTCTTCGTTTTTATCATAAAAGATAAAGATTACATTGTCAATTTCTCCGAAAATAAGCCCCGGGGCTTATATTTTTCAAAGGCCCTTTTTGAGGGGCTTATATTCGGAGGGGCTTATGTACGGAGGGAAATTTGCGTTTCAAAATCGATTGGGCTAGCTTGTAGTGGGAAGGAAATTTACCATTTTTGCTTTGTTTTACTTTGTATTCGAGAGCAAATTCCATGTACAAGTCCCCCGGGGGGCTTATATTTGGAGGGTTATACATGGAGGGGCTTATTATGCTTATTATCGGAATTTTACGGTACTTTCTTGGACTGAACAAAAGGAAGTCCAATGTATTCGCTCGAAACGAAGTTGGGCAAACATCTTTAAAACCCACAATTTACTTGAATATCCTCAAGTTCTGGCAACATGTAGAAGAACTACCCGGGAAAAGCATTGTAGCCTGCGTCGCAATCGTTTCCGTTTGGTTTCGGAGGAAAGAAAGACCGAGGAACGGGATTCTCGGCTTTGGCCGCTCTTTTGCTTGGGCCATTTTGACTTTTGTTCCCCGTTCTTTGCTCCTAAACCGCAAGGAAACGCTTGCTACGCAGGCTAAAAGCATTACGAAGCAGTGCCTCATGTATATATATTTTTGAAATATCAGGAGCCTTTAACATACTCGTAAATGCATTTTTCGCTAAAAAGTCATTTCCTTTTTTACCTTTTTTTCCATTTATTTGTATATATATATTGTTTACATACTAATAAATGCATTTTCCCGCTAAAAAGTCATTTTCTTTTTTGACCATTTTTCAGTTTATTAGTGTTAGTATTATAATAGTTTAAATAGTTATGTTTAACTTTCACTGTCAAAGTTTTTGCTAAAAATATTTTTACTAGTACTAGTAAAGTTTTAAATACGCTCACAGTTTTGCAAAGAAGGAACAAACGCAACAGGACTTGATGATATTCAACAAACAAATAAATTAGAGCTATCTAAATTAACACAAAATATTCTTAAGATAGCTAAAAACTGAAATAAATAAGAAACTAAAATTTTACTCTTTTTTCAAACAAGACAACAAGAAATCTGAAGGCAACAATTTATTATTAAGTATTAAAGTTACTGGCGGTTTTATAACCGGCAAGAAGAAGTCCACAACCAAAAATCGCCAAAAGTTATAAGTCGCTTCTTCTTCAATTATCTTGCTGTTGATAACGCGGGTCAAACAGCAGATAAAAAGCACACAGGCAGCACGATTTTTCCTTTCCTTCTTCTGGCGCGCAAAACCGGAAAGACGTTGGGAGATGATACTTTTCTGAACCAGCCAGAAAAACTCATCTGCTGACAGGCCTTTTCCTTCATACGATTCTTTAACTGCTTTTTTCTATTCTCCTTTTAAGCTGAAATTGATGCCTTCTAACGATGAATTCCCGTAGAGAAATCTCATCACGCTTCCAACGACATAAGTTTAGTTACTCAAATGGCGTGATGCGGAGGACAGGGTAGCTTCTCTTCAGTCAGGGATTCTTCTGTTCTCTGAACCTGTTTTCAAGGGCCAAAATTTTGGTTTGGATGTACAGTCGACTCCCTAACCCTGCTGCACTTGCTAGCTCGAACCCTGCGCTAACTCCAACTTAATTTCCTTAATTATAAGTAGATAGCCGTTGTTCTCCCTAAATTTTAGCTCAGCAGGTAAGGGACCATTCACAGCCGGTAGGGCAAAAAATATGCACCACAGAGGTGTACGTTTTCGGGGACAGGCGGGTAGTGCAGTGCGGGAAATGGCCCCGATCTTGCTGGGAAATTTAGGAGCTGAGTTCTCTGAAATGTCATACAATCAATTTAAGAACTACTTCACGCAAATCGGCCGTTGTTAACCTTACACAACAAATTAAACGATCACAACTTGCGTATTTTTTAAAAGTACTTCTTTAATTTTAGTAAACTTTCAGGTCATTGCACTAGGCGGTAAGAAGTGTTGCTTCAGGCGGTAAATTTTACCGATTACTGCCTGACATAAAGAACACCGTGTGAACCCTCAATAACTCGAGCCTCCCACTAACTCGTAATTTTGGTTTCCCTTAAGATCATTTCTGTATAATCTTACCCTCGATAACTCAATCTATGTTTTAAGCGCTTTCTTAATCAAAACAAACAAACAAACAAACAAAGCATTGCAGTCCAAAGCATTGAATTTACTTAAAAACTTCTGTGCCAACCGTGTATTGTAAATTCTTTTTCTTTTATGCCTTTTTTAAAGTCCAGTTCAGATCCCGGTTCAGATACAGTACGTGTCCAGCCCTGTATAATGATCAAGCTTTATTGTTGTGTAATTCCTGTTTCAAAATATCTTTATCAAATATCTCTTAATTTTCTGGTTCTGCCCTGCTCACTGTTGGTAGAATTAGCAACACAGTGAAATATAACAGTCTCTGTGGACAGTGCTTTACTACAATTCAGGGTCGGCCGGGGGTGGGGGGGGGGGGGGGGGAGTGTTATACCATGAACCCCGAAAAAAACTCCCCAAAAACCCCCAAAAACCCCAAAAATCCCCAAAAAACACCCAAAATAAAACAAAATAAAAATTTAACCCAAAAAACAAAAAAAAATAAAAAACAAAAACACCATTTATAAATAACACTAAACAAAACCACCAGTAAAAAAACCCCTCAATATACTAACCCCAACAAGGGGGGGGGGGGGGGGGGGGGGGGGTAGTGGTATACCAGTATACCCGAAAAAAATTCGCCAAAATACCCCACAATACCCAAAATTCATCCAAATATACCCAAAATTAATCGAAGGTATACTTTATACCTGAAATTCAAAGAAAGTGATATACCGAATACCCGTATTTAAGCTGCAATATACCGTATACCCGATTTAAAAAGCCCCTGTATACCGTATACCCAAAAACCCTGGCCGACCCTGACAATTTATTCAGTACATGAGTTCTTGATTGTTATTTATAAGGTCAACATGGGGCAACACAAAATTCCCTAAATTTACAGAAAACTATCCTACATTTTTATTAGTACAGTTAAATAATCATGTAAGAATTCTTATTGATTAACGGATGTCCATAAAGTTGGGATTTGGAATATGTTCACTAGTTTCAAGCTGTGATAGACTTAAGTGATGGGAGTATACAAGTGCACAATATTTACATCTTCAATTTATTAAAAATATATACTTTAGTAATTCAACGCTATCTCGTTTGTAGTTTTCCTATTTTTGAAGTCAACAATGTTTCTCTTTCCTTGAGCTTTGCTTCAACTTCAGCCTGAAGATTATAAGAAAAAATCATGACATTTTATAGACTTAATGGTTATAGATTATCAAACAAGCTTCTCTAGCACAGTTTAAATTAGCTCCACCTTAATTCAAACCATTTTTGACACTTCAATTAATAATTACTTTTAAACTCATTGGAAACATTTACCTTTGTAACTGCATATCTTGCTATTATAACAAGCCTGAGCTAACATATCTCAATATATAAATACCTGTAATTCAAATTTTGATCATGTGTATTAAGCCCAGTGCAACGGTTAAAATTAGGACTGCAATCAAAACATATTTCTGCAGTCACGTATTGTTCAGGGTTTTCAACTGCCGAGCATTTCCTTGAACAAGTACCCACAATCCACTGAGCACTCTCTCCAGATATATGATTCATGACTAAACCTAAATCAGCCATACAACCAGAGTCCCCTCCCTCCCCTCGACACTTTTCTATCCAGTTTAGGTTACCACAAGGAAAACAGTCTACCTCTTTCAGTTCTTCCAGTGCAAAGTTATCTTCATCCCCGTAAACTTAAGACAGCCAAAATGGTTGACGCAAGAACCACAGATTTTTGAATTCTATGTACAGTATCTAATAATACTGTGTTCTTTGTAAATAATGAACAATTCTCTACTTATTAAAAATTGATGAGCATTAAATCCTTAATATTTAAGTGCCCAAGTTGTTTGACTTAGCACTCACCCTATTGAAGTAATATCTTTTTTTCCTATTCAAGGAATATGGGATCATTAAAATACTTTAATGCAGGGCAACAGAACAACTCACAGCATACCTTAAAATTTCCTAACACCTCATCTGCCACCTTGTTAACAATACTCTTGACCTGGTCCGGTTTCACAGATGCCAAAATATCTTCTGCAGTTTGATTCTCAGCAAGGTTAAGTGCAGCTGACTGGGCTGTAAACAAAATTACCCAACAGAATTACTGAAATGACTTAAGTGCCCAATATTCCACACCAACTTGGTCAGATTATGTATCGCACTTATTGTTTCACAGTTAACAGTTTAGGCTAACAAGGAATTCATGAAGAAAAATACCTTCTCCTCTTGAATCTACATCACCCTGTGAATGTGGAATATTGTAAAGAATAAAATTAATTCAAACTTCTTTTCGTACCAATACTCTTATTTATTTAATTTTTTTCCATTTTTTTTTTTGGGGGGGGGGGGGGGGGGGGTGGGGGGAGAAGTAGGGTACACATTGCATAAATCTTCTGTGTTAATCTACCCTCTATAAATTTGTGACAGTGCTATTATGAATTGTTATGAACCCTAAATTTTAATTTTAGCACACCTATGTCAGACATTTTGCCTAAATGTGACCCTTTCAAGTCTTTAACTTCTAGAACCTGATTACTTCTGAAGATGAGGGAAGACTTCCAAACTCAATCTGAAACTTTGCACTTAAGATTTCCAACCTTCTCAGCTCCTGCTTGCCATTTTAAATCAGAGATTTCAGGGGAAATGTGATCTTACTTTCCATGTTGGTTTGATTTTATAGCTATAATAGCTGAGATTTTTCCACAAGACATGAGAAACTGGTCTGCAGACCTGAGAAAGTGTGAGATCAAAGTTTGTAATCCACAGAATTGATGACAGTCATGTCCTTGAAGGTATGAGAACAGCTGGCAGTATAGTATCTCTGAACTATGTTAGCTTAAGTCAGTTAATCAATGATAAAATTCTTACATCTTTTTGTTCCATTAGTTGAGGTGATTGTGGTGGTGTCATCACGTGTTCTCTCCACACATCTTCTGTCATACCCTCATCAAGCGGAGGTGGGAATGGAACACTGGCCAGAGGTGGTACTTCAACAGCAAGCTGTGTCAAAGAAGAAAGACAAACTAATAGTGAACTAAACTGAAGGGGAAAACACCCCAACTTTAACAATGCTGTATCAAAAACTAATTTTCAAAATAAAAAATCAGATATAAATTGAAAGTTGCTATCCAATAGAGGGGTGAATAATTATTAAGAAGAGGTTGGTAAAGAGGTGCATGGTCTTATTAGAGACCATTAGAAGTGGGTGCAACTGTAAAATTTTACAAGCTCTGTTCACTTTAGGTCAGGTCATCGCAAAAAGTTATGTTTCCATGCATAAAGATGTTTGAAGGGCTGAGTGGAACAATTGCCTTAAGTAACTCTAAACAAAATGTCAAAGTATTCTTCTTTTCTGTCAATGAAAAGCAAACACAGGACAATTTGGAAGGTAAATGCAGCAGTTTATCAAAAGTTACTTTAAAGCTTTTAATATTATGTATGCTCTACAAGGCTCCGCCGACAAGCCAGTCCAAGATGACTTTCTTACTCTTCACATGACAACAAATGCATACCTCTGATATAACAACTTCCTCTTGGGGCTCTTGAGTAAATAGAAACTGGTACAATCTGTAGTGTTGAAATAAGCTGTGAAAAAGGAACATCACAATGGTCAATACCTTGGCTTTTTGTATTTACTCAAATATATCCTGCAGTTGAAGAGTAGCAAAACACCCTCTCATCTTGGAAAGAATGGTTAGAAATTCTGATCTAAGACCCTTTGAATTAAAAGGAGGGGACTCATCAAGTAATATGTACTTGATGCCCCTGGATGAACCTATATCATTATGATACAACAATTATTGTAACAGTTGTTCTTTACCTGTCAGTAAAGTAGTCTGTGATGACTTTAGCCTGATTAACATCAAAACATTCAAGCCCTCCATTTTGGGGGCAGTTTTCTACTCCAATGCCTGCCAGCAGTGTCTTAAACTTTTGAATGCTCTCAATCAGGGAGGAATGGTGTTCTGAAAAAAACAACAAACAAACAAATATAAGAAAAAAGAGAAAGGATTTAAGCATAAAGTATGATAAGTTTATTGTCCCATATCATGATACTTCCAATTTTTATTTCAATTTGAAACATGAATAGTATAATGTATGTTAGTAAATCATTAAAATAAGTATTAACAACACAGTTATTGATGACAAACTGAAAGTATAGAAATAAAAATTAGTAACTTTATTAAAAAATATAACTATCTAGAGAAACACAACCATTTCCCCAGGTCTCAGGGCTGCAATATTTTTTTCTCTTGAAAGGACATATGTCCTACTGAGACACCATCTTGGTCAGACATTTCCTGGCTCTCCAGGAATTCCTGGAATAGCCCAGAAATCCATGAGAAAATTTTCAACACTTAGCGGGCTTTTCCTTATGTGCAAAAAAGACCAGAGCTTCTGACTAGAATGATTTCTGGCACTCCCTAGCTCTTCCATGATTCCGTTCCGGGGTTTCCCGGAGACCTTTTTCCTGCCTTTTCGGCATGTGCAAAAAAGCCTGGAAAGCCAGGAATTTTACCCCAGAATTCCCTGGAATTTCGGGCTCCTTTTTGCAGGTGTATGACTTCAGGTGTGGGATTATCTGAATGCAAATTACCTTCTTGCATAATCATTTATTATTATTATTATTATTATTATTATTATTTTTATAATTTAGGAACATCTCCCATACTGCGATATAGATACCTTTTATATTGTCTAGCATCACTTTTAGAAGGGTAAAAAATGCTGAAATCTGCTGAAGTGTAAAATTTTGTTCCTTTGCAAACCTTAAAAGGAAGTCTCTGTCAAGGAAAAAACTTTCTTGCATCATAATTAAAATTAACACCAGCCTAAAATGACAATCTTCCTGCCTGCTGTACCCATAGAGATTATTATAAAACATGTTGGTGTAAAGGATAAACCACTCATCACAGTCTAACAAGATGAGCCCGATAATTTACCACTCACTCCTAATCAGTAATCGGGTATTAGCAAATTCTAGAAAAAATAACATAGGTTAATTCCACCTGCATTTACATGTAATTGATGATGAGGTACATATCTGAAATATGTTCTTTTCCAAACTCAAAGAGTGAATCATTTCTTTTAAGTGTCTCATTTAATTTTACTGCAAAAGAATTTGGTAACTGTTAGCTGTATGATGAAAAGGATACCAAAACCCAGCAACATAGTAGTCCAACACACAAGCTTCAGGAAGAGAATTGTGAAAACTTTCAATGGTCAGAACTTCACCCACCTTCCTAAAAAAAGAATTACATCAAATCTTTATATCAACTAAACAAGCCTATGTAGGGTTTGTAAGGATCACTTTGCTTTTTGCTAACATTCATCTGTTAAGTTAATACTGTTTCATTTATTTAGTTATGGCATGGCTCTCTTATTTGTCCACTGGGTGGGAAATTAGCACACTGCACACTATTTTATTGAAGCCCCACAGTGGAGTCTTTGCGTGAATCTGTTCACATGGGGGCTGCATTTGTAGCTTTCCAAAGGAAATATTAGAAATGCCTGACAAACACCCACCTGCAGAGTGCTGGGAGATGGGCACGCTCTGTTTCTGCCGTGGCAGGTGTCGAATCGAAAGAGGTGGGGAATCTGGAGGAAGGGAATAGGGGGGCAAAAGAGATGCCACACTTCTTTTCCCAGCTATTCCCCTTTTTGCCCCTGCCACGCAGGCTGCATGCTTTGTTGTGGCTGTGATTCTGACCTCATCTCAGTTCAGGTGATTGACCTCTGCATTTTTTGTAGGACCAGCAGAGGTCAAGTTGGGACCAAAATATCAAACAACAAATTGTTTCTCTAATAGTAAGCTTATAATGAACTTGTTGAACGTACACTTCCAGCTCACGTGCTGTAAGTTCCTTGAGTGCTTGAGTTTGTTCTTCAGACAAAACTTTCCAGGCTAATGATTATTTCTCCTCCTCTTCCTGTAAATCATAAAGTTATGGATGAAAAGTTGACATCATGTAACATAGGTACAATGTTCTCCATGTTAAAGTACATTTTTGCAACACACTTATTGATCAGCCCAAATTTGCATGAAACTGTTAAATAAAAAAAATCATGTTTAGAGTGATTTTACTTGACCCGTGAAACAGATAACTACTACTGCAAAGTTTCTACAAGTAAACAAAAGAAGACAACGGAATTAGTGCATAGCGCGTAGTATCCTACTACCTACTTCACGGGTTAAGTGAAATCCCTTCATAACTCTTGTTATTTATCTGTACAATACAAAGTGGAACAACTAGGCTTAGAGACATCGATTCAAAGAAATCATGGAAAACGTAACAGAAATATTTGAATTCAAACTTAAAAAAGTAGACGTTTTTACGGTATTTCCGAACGACCTTAAAAGTAAAAGTCGAAAAAGGTAGGTTACTAACGGATTGATTTTTGTTTCTTGTTGTCGCGGAGTCCCGTTTGGATGCAGATCTTTTTCTTTCCGAAGATTTGATCCGAATAGCTGATCGAGACTTCTTCGTGTCCGCCATCTTGAATATGCTTTGCAGATACTTGTTGCTATGCAACGCCACGGCTTGCAAAAATCTATTTTCCAGCGGGGAGGGGTGTTGTTAATCGACTAGTATTTCGTAGTTCATGAGGTCTTTCAACATACACAGAAAAACCAGCAGGCAAAATTAAGGTTACTTGGAATCGGTGTCTATTTAAGTAAAACCTTTCAACAGTTTGTCCGTCATCCTTTTACAAGGTAATTAGACTGACCTTTCGAGACGTTTCAATTTTCTTTTGCCGCGAGCTTTTGCCACGCTTTGAACGATTTGGAAGCTCGAGACTTTCCATAAAAGATTCAAACGTGTTCAAAGTTAATCGCCTATCCTTGACCACAAAACCAAAAAGCTATTTCGCGATATAATTCCAGTGTATTAAACTAAGCAACAATGAGCCCCCGCGCCGCAGTGTCTTCTATGAAATTAGATTGTTTTTGTGAGTTAGTTAATTAGTTCTGTAATAGCAAAGAATAACAGGTCTAAGATTTCGGCTCTTTTATTAAACTATTTATGGCCATTGGGAATCAGTAATCTTGTTTGCATTGTTCCGGCAAACAATATCAAATCGGATTATTCTTTAATTACTGTAAATGCCTTATTAAGGCGGCTCTGTAGCCCCTCTGTGGCTATTTTAATAAACCCCCTCAAAATTATACTGGAGGGAGTATTTGCTTCCGTTAATGCGACCACCGTTGGGGGCCATAAATCCTGGTCGTGATAACGAGATGGTCGTATTAACGGAATGTTCAAATTAATAAAGTGACCAGTTTGGTCGAAAGATTGTGGTCGTAATAACGAGGCGGTCTAATTATCGGGTTTGTCGTAAGGCGGGGTTTCACTGTCTCTCAAATGCTGGATATAAAAAGTATCTTTATAATACAGTAAAAACCCACGAGTAAGAACCTAAGATTTAAGAACCTGTTAGGCTAAAATTTGCAATTTAGACCCCCTCTATATAAGAACCTCTTTAGCCTAAAATTTGGAGAAAGGTTCTTATTGTCAAAAATCATTTAAAAATATTTACTAATTGCAATTGCAAAAGGCAAGTTAGTACATATATAAATGTTGTTCTATTGAGGTCATTGAGAAAATGTTTATAATATTGTGTTTTACAGCACAATCATGTATATAAAGTTGTTTTGACTCAAGAAATTAAAATTCATGTGAGAATAGATCCCTATTATGGTCATATTAAAAATATAAGCAATCGTTACATATGCAAATTTAAGGGTGCTGATCACTAAAATCTTCTTAGCAACGACATAATTTTTAAGAACCTAGATAGCCTAAATTTATGTTAACCACCATTTATGTAAGAACCTGTTTAGGCTAACCCTGGAAAACGTAGGTTCTTACTCGTGGGTTTTTTACTGTACGGGGCGGACTATCAAAACTTTATGAGGAAAGTGGAGAAACATCATGCAAGGAAAAGCTATTGATCAGGCATTCGTGATTTTTTTTTTCGGGGAAGAGCGACGGGCAAAGGGAAAAAAAAAGGAGAAGGCATACAGTACCGCATGATCTCAGGTTAAAAAAATCATGCAGCTTGAAAATCCCTCCCCCTCCTCCTCATTGTAGCTCAAAAGGCCGGAGATTCTTGGCCTGTTAACTAATAAGACAGCAAAGACGTCTTACAGAGTAAAAAGCAAGGCTGACTGTACAGCTATGAGATTATATCAATATAATCTTTATCAGGTTTTAATATAATCTCGTAGCTGTACAGTCAAGTTGTAAGTCGAGCTTAAGTTTAAGTCCAGTTGTTTGTCGAGTTGCGGATCTTACTTAATCTCGTACCCAGATCTCCCACGGCCAAGGGAAAAACAGAGTGAGATCTGGGTACGAGATTCGAATCTTACTGTTACGCATGCGTGATAGATAAATTTCCTGGCTGGACCACAGGGCACCCAGACTCACAACAGCCAACTGGAAATTAAATTATAAGGCTCGGCTGTCCTCTTGAGGCCGTGGATCATTCATTGTATGGAATCGAACTAAATTGACATTTTCAAGGAAAGAAAATCTTTGGTCTATGCTCAAGCAAAGATTGGGAGCGATGGGAGTGGAATAAGGGTACTTTTTGGAGGTTTTTCTTCTGTTAGCGGAGGACAGCCGAGTTTTCCCCCGTCTTCTTCTTAAGTGGTGAGAAACCATAACATCAAAACTTGCTGGTTTATATGGCCGGAAACAGTAAAAAAACAACACAGACACAACTCTTTATGAGGTAAGTTAACTTTGATGGCTGTTTATGTGTATTTTTTCCGTTTAATGGATCTTACGATAAGTTCCCGTGTAAATCCCTATTATATAATTTGGCTTCCAGTACCAGTAGACTGTTGTAAGTCTGGGCGCCCTGTGGACGGACCAACAAAAGCTTGTCCTTTGCCCAAGTTGTCATGTCAGGTCATGTATTTCTTTGTGTTTTAACACTAAAAACTGTTTTTAGATAGAGAGAAGTCGATCGCCATTCACCTGAAGAGTGAAACATACAACGGAGTTAAAGAAAAAAAAGACCCAAACTCACTTTTTTGACAACGATCACGATTATGTCGGCGGTTACTGGTGAAGGTACACGCTTCTTAGGAATTCCAGTTGAAGCTTTTTTCGCCTTTTTGGCTTTTCTATACCGTTCCATTTTCCACGGCCGTAGTGATGTCGCCTTATTGAGATGAATGTCCGTGGATACTGGTCAGTTAGAAGACCATCGAAGCGCTGACGGCTTTCAAAGACTGATTACTTTAACTAAGCACTGCATTGTGTTTTAAACAAACTGTTTTGCAACTTGAATGATTTTAATAAGTACTCGGTTGATAATTGTACAAGCTTGTGCAAACATAGCAACATTTCTTTTAAATTTTTCATTTGAGCACAAATCGCCTCCTCTTTGATCATTTAATTTGTGAGCGTCGACGGTGGAGATTACAAACTTTAATATTCCTATAGGCACCGTTTGAAAGTTTTATCATTATTTCTCAGCCGTTACGGTCACGTGTCAAGATTCATAGACATACAAAAATTATATTTTGGTTCTTATAAACAGCCGCCACTGGTACAGGACGCCAATACATCTGTAATGAACTTTCATTTGAATGCTCACACTTCGGGACTTCTGTTATAAACTCAGAAGTGAGTAAACACCTTGTATCTGACAAATCATACACCTTAAAATCTGGTCAGCGATGTGAATCAGCTAAAAAACAAAAGGCTGGAAGAAACTGATACAACTGCTATGAGGGAGGGAATTAAATGCGTTAGGAAATGATTTAACTATGATAACCTGTCGGCGCACCAGTCATGTGTTGTTCCCATCCTCTGATTGGCCAGAGAACTGTTCTCCATTTGTTTTCCTTGAGTCAGTTAATTTCAAACCTTGTCAATGTTTTAATTAAAAAGGCCAAACATATTGTTGAATGAAATACAAACCAATAAAAGTGACAACTTTACTCTAAACAGCTGGATTATTTTTTGTGCGTTACGGTTATGCATTTAACAATTAACATAGAGACGTAGAAAGGACGTCTGCTTACTCAAAAAAAACTGCGTTTTACTCAGGCAAAAGTATTACCTTCTTTGCACGTTCCTCTTTGTCTCGATTCTTTCTTGCGCTTCTCTGTAGTTTTCGTTTGGCCATCCTTCTTGCGTTTAAAACAGTCGCCATATTTGGGGACTTGGATCTATCCATTCTTTGAGGTATCGGCGTTTATGTGTAGGGGGGAAAAAGCCAATGGTCGCGTCACCAGAGCAACTCGTGGCTACACACACACACACACACACACAAAAAAAAACAAACAGTTTGAAAGGCAATTCTCTTGCGATCACTGTAATAGCTCATGTCCAGATAGAGAAAATACACACAACATGTTGCAAAACCTCTATAAATTATAGCAAGAAAATTCCGCAAACTGAACCCAACGAAATTGTGTCCACCTGCCTTGTTCTCATGGAAGGACCTAGACTGATGTGAAAATACAAAGTCAACTCGTTAAAGAGTAGGTCAGGGTGAATAGTAAGCGATAAAAAATTAACAGTGTTTATTGTTCGACAAGATCTGTCGCTATATAAATGAGTTATTTATGGCTTTGGCTTAACAACCATAATTTCCCTCTCACCTAGAAAATAATGAAGTAGATTGCTATCCAATCAGCGTGAGTTTCTTTCGCAACTGTCATGCGGGGCGCCAAGGGACGAGTTAAGGATAATTTTAGCTTTTCTGCATTTCAAATGCCTGTCAAATGATTATCCCTTGAACACACGCTCGTAGTTATATTAAAGGAAGGCAAGATTATTGACGTAGGTCTCGAAAGTTTGTATGGTACTTAATAAGCCTATAGCTATCTGTTCAGTAAATTCTAAGTTTGATTCTTAGTGAAGTCAAGATAAACGTAAGAAAATATTTAAACCAAATAAAAAATATCTGAATCTACTGCCAATTTATTAGCAACGAGGAGCCAATAAGTTCATTTCGTCGAGCCTTGTTTGTAAACAGAGATAAAACAACGCATTTCATTGAACAGATTGTTCGACCCTTTATCGTTCAATTCAAAGTTTTACTTTTAAGATCTTAAAGTCGGCCGCTTTTGAAAACAAGCTCCATGAATAAATCAACATAACATTTTCTTAAACAGTGATAAACACATATATACGTTTTTGGAATAAACAAAATGTGGAAACTGACCAATTCACTTACTAGCGCAGTCTCTATACTGATGATCACTTTCGGCGACGATATGACCGCAGGTGTTTTAGCTTTATCGATCCTTTGTCTTGAAAGGACTTCAAATAAAAGATATTCCAGATCTCAGATACGGGTATGTCATAATTTTAAAGAGTCTTACCTTGCAGTCTGGGTAAAAATACGAAAGATAAACTAAACACCCAGGAGGAAAACTAAATATTGCCTAATCTTATATAGGAAACAAAAAAGAAAAAGAAGAAAAACGCACTCAGTCGCAGCAATCTGAGGCTAGTTTTTGCGATAGAATACTTTTAAACTAAAGGCACTGATTAGTATTGTTATCGTGCCTTGTACAGCGCAGTGATTTCAGTTGT